CAAATCATAGCAGGAAACATACAGTGACTTATTATAACACAATGGCATATTTTTAAAGAAGTGGGGGAGACAATAATTAACAGAAAATATCTCACATGCCTGCAGAATTAGTAATATGCAAATCTACCCAAATATGCAAATGAACCAGTCTTGCTAGTCAGGTAGTGCATATTGCTGTTGCTACCAACAGAGGGCACTAGACAAGCTCCATAGCCAAATCCACCGAGTTGGTAGCAATCCTCAGCAGTACAGGAGAGCAGGCAATACATCCCAGGGACCATAGTCACATTGCAGGAGGCTGGCAATCAGTCTTCTCCAATGCCCAGTGGCGAGGTTGGTTCTGCCACAGTATTGTAGTGTGGTATGTGGATGGAGATGGCTGGTTGTATTGCAGTGTGGTATGTGGATGGAGATGGTTGGTTGAATTGCAGTGTGTGTGTTGTAGGGCCTGTTGTATGTGTGTGGGATAGGGACCATAGTAGGTATCTGGGGGATACTGGGGCTGTAGTGATGGTTTAGATAATATAGGCTCTCCTGTGTGGGGGATATAAAGGCTGCAGTTTGTCTGTGGATAGTGTGTGCGTGTGTGGATATGAGCTGTAGTAGGGGACGACGACAGTGGCTGCATGAGTGATAGGGGCTATACTGGGTGCTGGAAGGTACATGAATTACAGTCCAGGGAGGGATAGGTTCTGAGGTGGGTACAGGGTGAAATAGGGGCTGTGGTGGGTGAAAGGGGAAATGGGGCTGGGGTGGATGGGGGGCATGGAGGCTGAGGTGGATGAATTGGGAATGGGGGCTGAGGTGGATTCTGAGGGAGATGGGGGCTAAGATGGGGGTGAAGGGGTGAGGTGTGCCTGGGGCTGAGGTGGGTGCTGATGAAAATGTGGGCTGGGTGGGTGGAGGTGGGCCTGGGGCTGAGAGAGATGGGGGTTGAGGTGGGTGGAGGGGGGTGGGGATGAGGGAGATGGGGTTTGAGGTGGGTGGAGGGGGGCTGAGAAAGATGGGGTTGAGGTTAGTGATGGGGGGCCTGGGGTTGAGGGAGAGATGGGTTAGAGATGGGGGCCTGGGGCTGAGGGAGTTGGGGTGAGATGGGGTTGAGGTTAGTGATGGGGCCTGGTGCTGAGAGAGTGATGGGGTTGAGGTTAGTGATCGGGGGCCTGGGGCTGAGAGAGATGGGGATGAGGTTATTGATGGGGGCCTGGGGCTGAGAGAGATGGGGGTTGAGGTTAGTGATGGGCGCCTGGTGCTGAGGGAGATGGGGGTTGAGGTTAGTGATGGGGGGCCTGGGGCTGAGGGGTATGGGGGTTGAGGTTAGTGATGGGGGCCTGGGGCTGAGAGTGATGGGGGTTGAGGTTAGTGATGGGGGGCCTGGGGCTGAGGGAGATGGGGGTTGAGGTTAGCACTAGAGGGACCTGGCACCCAGACCTCTTCATTGAGCTGAAGGGGTCTGGGTGCCTATAGTGGTACTTTAAGCCCACCCCTATGTTACAGTACCCCAATAACAGTGGGTCGGTCTTACACTAATTTTAACATTGGAGCTTAACATGCTAACTTCTATACCTTAAATGGTTTCCAGACACTCCTCAGTTTATTCTTTCCTGTGGTCTCCTCCAAAGGGGCCCCTTTAGTGGGTGGGGTACTTCCAAATCTACACAGAAAAAATTGAATTGGGGGCACACTCAGCATATGTATAGCCTCAAATTCATACAATATACAGATTAAGTTATAGCTTTCAATTTTACACGGCTACTTATATCACCTATCTCAGCGAACAAATATGGGGATTCAATTCCACTATACGGCCATATTGTGTTAAACCCACTACTACGTCACAGTACCCCATTACCCAATAGATGTAAGAGCACACGGATTGGCCAGGAGTGGGTTAAACAGTCTGGTCCTAATCCATTTCCCTAAATGAGCTCACACCCATCAGTCGCTCAATGTCCTTCTGAGCACACAGCAATGTCAGCTGTCACCACCTGGCACCTGAACAGCCCAACAAGTCACTTACCCAGCCCGCTGTGGGTATTTATAATCTGTTTGTCAGAGGGTTACTGTGCGGAACTTTCTATTTCCAGAGCAAGGTATTTTGTATGGAGCGGGGTGTCTGGCTCTGAAACGCGTTAACCTATCCTAGACAAAGGTGCAGCTTCCAAAAGGTTCCATAAACATTAACTCTTTACAGACCAAGGTGCTGCTCTTCCATATTTAACCCTTAAATAAGCAAAAATTGAAGCGAGAATTTCAGATGTGTTAACTCTTTAAAGGACAAATTCTACTCCTAAACATTTAACCCTTTAATAAATAAAAATGAATGAAGCAAGGACCCTTCAAAAGGAAACATTGATCTTTAGTGAGGAAGGTGAGGATTTGAAAACATTAACCCTTTAATGTTTAATTATTTGCCGTTTGATGAGGAAAGTTATGCTCTCAAACATTTTACTCTGTAATTAGCAGGTTATCGTAAACATGTTAACACTTTCATGAACGTCCAGTGACAACATATTAACCTCCTAATAAGCGGGCCATCTCATGAATTATTCCTGTGCGGTGTCGAAGGAAGCCTGGGTCAGGACATTCCTGAGCTTTTTCTACAGCTAGAATTTTATTGGGTTATCCAAACTATCTCCTCCCAGGCTGCCCTTCTAGCCTAATAAAGGGTCTCAAAAAACATGATCGGCGATACGTAAAAAGGGAAACTCACTTTAAAAGGAAACTCTGTGCTATTTTGCACATGGATAGTGATGTTATTTTGCACCAGGATAGTGATGTTATTTTGCACGAGGCTAGTGATGTTATTTTGCACAGGTCTACTAATGTTATTTTGCACAAGGATAGTGATGTTATTTTGCACAGGTCTAGTGATGTCATTTCTCACAGGTCTACTAATGTTATTTTGCACAGGGCTAGTGATGTTATTTTGCATGAGGATAGGGATGTTATTTTGCACGGGAATAGTGATGTTATTTTGCACAGGTCTAGTGATGTTATTTTGCACGGGGCTAGTGATGCTATTCTGCACAGGGCTAGTGATGTTATTTTACACGAGGCTGGTGATGTTATTTTGCACGAGGATAGGGATGTTATTTTGCACGAGGCTAGTGATGTTACTTTGCACGTGAGTAGGGATGTTATTTTGCATGGAGATAGGGATGTTATTTGAACGGGGCTAGTGAAGTTATTTTGCATAGGAATAGTGAAGTTATTTCGCACGGGGCTAGTGATGTTATTTTGCACAGAAATAGTGAAGTATTTTTGTACAGGACTAGTGATGTCATTTTGCACAGGTCTACTAATGTTATTTTGCATGGGGCTAGTGATGTTATTTTACACAAGGCTAGTAATGTTATTTTGCACGAGGATAGGGATGTTATTTTGCACAGGTCTATTAATATTATTTTGCACTGGGATAAGGATGTTATTTTACACATGGCTAGTGATGTTATTTTGCACGAGGATCGAGATGTTATTTTGCACGAGTAACGAGATGTTATTTTGAACGAGGATCGGGATGTTATTTTGAACGAGGATCGTGATGTTATTTTGAACGAGGATCGGGATGTTACTTTGCATGTGAGTAGGGATGTTATTTTGCATGGAGATAGGGATGTTATTTTGCACAGGTCTATTAATATTATTTTGCACTGGGATTAGGATGTTATTTTACACAAGGCTAGTGATGTTATTTTGAACGAGGATCGGGATGTTATTTTGTACAGGGTATAGGGATGTTATTTTGCACGATTATAGGGATATTATTTTTTTTTTTTAACATTCTCTTTTTATTGGTATTTTTCACTTGATGGGGCGTACAGAAGAGAAAGGGTAGGGTGTGGCACCCACCAACCTAAAGCATCAGACATTCTGCACTGGTAGTTAGGACATTCTGTGGTTGCGTACAAACGTAAATGATTGTGACCGTGTACAGATTTGGGCCTTTGTTAGGAGGTGCATCTTCATGGCGGTCAGACCTTGCACATCGTTGCAAGTGTTCCTAATAGTGATTTGAGGTCTAAGTGGCTCTGTCGGAGCGACTGCTTCGCAGAGTTCTGTTCATCCCCTGGGTAGGTGCCCGTTGTTGGTGCCATGGAGTTATACAAGGAAACTGGGATGGGGTATGAAGGGGATCAGTGTTCTGGCCGTTTGTGGTTCCATATGTTTCTGGGCCGATATTCGACTACTAGATGTGTAGGCCTGATCTCGGTTACAGGGTATTGGAGATGTGGGGAGAGGTCAAGAACTATGTACAGTTATAGTGTGTGTGTGTGTGTGGCGTTTGGTATTGAGGTTATTGGAATGTGCCGTGGGTGGAGTGGAAGAGTGTGAGAAGGATTGAGTAAAGAGGAGAAGGATAGGTCAGTTTGTAGGTGCTCCTGGGGAGCTCCACCGGGGCCTTCAGTTGGGTTGATGGGGGAGGGGTGCAGGTTAGAAGGAAAGGGGGCATTAGGTAATTGGGTGGAGGTTAGGCAGAGAGTAGCGATTATCTTTATGTTACTGTGAAACAGGTATTTCACATTCTCCTGTCAACCCACGGGTCCCACATATATTTGGGTGTGTCATGGATTTGTTCTGTTTGTCAGCCCATAGTTTCCCAGTTGCCCTGCTCACTGCCAAGGCAATGCATGCTGCTAATTTGTTTTTGTGTCTAGTCATATTGGAGATTGGTTTGGATAGTAGTAGGGCCCAGGGGTCCAGCGGGAATGGTTTCTCTAAGACCAGTTTGATTAGTTTTTGAATCTCTAGTCAGTATGGCCTCAGTATGGAACAGGACAACCAGCCAAGGAGGTATGAGCTTTGCCTCTTACATGAGGGTGAGTCCATGCTTGTGGGTGGCGCCGTGCCTGCTTGTTTGACTGCTGGGTTGTGTGCTAGGTTTCGTAATTGGAGAAAGCGAAAAAGTCAGTGGTTTGTAGTCCCTCTTTGTCTGGTATGTCTGCGTATTCTAGGGGTCGTGAGTCTCTATAGAAGTGCATGAGTCTGCATACATTACTTTTTTAATAGTTGTGGAACTGTTGCGCTGTTTGGCCAGACGGGCACAATTTGTTGCGCAGTATTGGTGTTAGTGGTGAGAGGAATGAGGTGTATTCGGATTTTGAGAAGTTGATTTGTTGATTTGATTTGTAGTCAGAGAGGTTCGCATATTCATCTATAAGGGTTAGTATCTGTGGTACAGAGGTGGTCAGGTTGGTGAGTGTGAGGAGTATGTCATTGGCATAGGCTGCCACTTTGTATTTTGTTCCCCTAACTCTTTTGCCGTCGATGCGATGATTGAGGCGAATTGCCTGTAAGAGGGGTTCGAGGGATAAGGCAAAAAAAGAGGGGAGAAAAGGGGCACCCTTGGTGCGTGCCATCGGAGATTTGAAAAGTGGGTGGTTTTGTGTTTGGTATCAGTAGCCGACCAGTTGGTGTATCCTATAGTGCAAGTAACATGGTCAGGAAGTCAGGTGGGAATTTGAGGTGTTGTAGAAGAATGGCCACAACAAATGGTTAAATGCCTTCTCAGCGTTCAGTGAAATCAGTGTTGCTGGTAGTCTGTGGTGTTGGGCATACCCGGCGGTGTCTATTGTCCGTCTGGTGTTGTCTGCCGCGTGTCTTTTTGGGATAAACCCCACTTGGTCTTGGTGGATTAGGCATTCTAGGTATGGGTTTAGTCTATTTGTAATTGCTTTTGTGAGTAGTTTGATGTCGGAGTTCAGTAGGGATATCGGGTGATAATGCACTCGGTCAAGGTGGTCTTTGCCTGGTTTAGGTATGAGGCAGACGTCGGCTGTTATTATGTCAGGGGGCAATGGCTTTCACTTTGCACAGGTGCAGGAGTAGTTGGGCGTGAAATGTTTGGAGTGCAAGGCTGTAAAGCCGTCCAGTCCCAGGCCTTTATCTGATTTGCAGGACCAGAGGGCGATATTTAGTTCCTCTTCATCTATTTCTCGTGATAGGATGTCTTGCCCTCCTCGTGACAGTTTAGGGAGGTGCAGGGGTGCTGGAGGGGATCAGGACGGTGAACCGTGGGGCCAAGTGGATCCGGGCCCGGCTGGGACCGGTTTTGTCGGCGGCGGAGCAAGATGGCGGCAGCCTGCAAGGGTCAGGAGGCCCCCACGTTGGCTGAGCCCGGGCGCAGGACCTTGTATTGGAGGACCGTGCATGCATGAGGTGGCCAGAGCGGGCCGTGATCCGGGATGCAGGCATGGTGGCCACATGGTTGTGGCCCCGCCTCCCAGCGCGAGGATAGGTATGTTATTTCACACAGGTCTAGTAATGCTGTTTTGCACAAGGATAGGGATGTTACCTCGCACGGGGCTAGTGATGTTATTTTGCACAGGTCTAGTGATCTTTTGCATAGGTCTACTGATGTTAATTTGCATGGGACTAGTGATGTTATTTTGCATGAGGATAGAGATATTATTTTGCACAGGTCTAGTGATTTTATTTTGCACGGGGATAGGGATGTTATTTTCTATGGTGCTGGTGACATTATTTTGCAAGGGGCTGGTGACGTTATTTTGCACGGGGCTGGTGATGTTATTTTGCACTGGGCTGGTGACGTTATTTTGCACGGGGCTGGTGATGTTATTTTGCATGGGGATGGTTATGTTATTTTGCACGGGGCTGGTGATGTTATTTTGCACGGGCTGGTGATGTTATTTTGCACGGGGTAGGTGATGATGCTCTAGCATTGTGACCACGCTCTGTCCTCCTGACATGCCTCTCATACATTCTACATTTATTTATTCTATGCGACCGAGCCCCAATCCGTCTGACCCACTCTGATCCCTGTGGCATGCTGTGCATCACAGAACACGAGGCTCCGGCTGATGATGTTATTTTGTACGGGGCTGGTGACGTTATTTTGCACGGGGATAGTGATGTTATTTTGCACGGGGCTGGTGACTTATTTTGCACGGGGATAGTGATGTTATTTTGCACGGAGATAGTGATGTTATTTTGCACGGGGCTGGTGATGTTATTTTGCACGGGGCTGGTGATGTTATTTTGCACAGGGCTGATGATGTTATTTTGCATGGTGATGGTTATGTTATTTTGCACGGGGCTGGTGATGTTATTTTGCACGGGGCTTAGTGATGTTATTTTGCACGGGGCTGGTGATGTTATTTTGCACGGGGATAGTGATGTTATTTTGCACGGGGCTGGTGATGTTATTTTGCACGGGGCTTAGTGATGTTATTTTGCACAGGGCTGGTGATGTTATTTTGCATGGGGATGGTTATGTTATTTTGCACGGGGTTGGAGACGTTATTTTGCACGGGGTTGGAGACGTTATTTTGCACGGGGCTAGTGACGTTATTTTGCACAGGGCTGGTGATGTTATTTTGCACGGGGCTGGTGATGTTATTTTGCACTGGGCTGGTGACGTTATTTTGCACGGGGCTGGTGATGTTATTTTGCATGGGGATGGTTATGTTATTTTGCACGGGGCTGGTGATGTTATTTTGCACGGGCTGGTGATGTTATTTTGCACGGGGTAGGTGATGATGCTGTAGCATTGTGACCACGCTCTGTCCTCCTGACATGCCTCTCATACATTCTACATTTATTTATTCTATGCGACCGAGCCCCAATCCGTCTGACCCACTCTGATCCCTGTGGCATGCTGTGCATCACAGAACACGAGGCTCCGGCCCTGTTATTGGAAAGACTCATTGTTCTGGATAGTTGGGATACCGAGCCCCGGAGACGTGAAGAAAGTGAGTGCACGGCAGCTGCTGAGTGTGACTGGCAGGGCAATCACTTGACACTTAAAGCAGAATAGAGCGAGCTGAGTGACGTGATGTCTCTTCTTAGGAACACATTCTTCATATCATGCTGTTGCCTGTTAGTGGACTTGGAGGCTTCACTTCATCCCTCTGCATTCTTAATCCAACCCTTTCCTTAAAAGAAGAGACACAGAGCAGGCACCCAAACACAGGGTGACCCATCGTCTACCTAACAGAGAGGATTATGGGAAATGTAATGCAATCACTCCTGTGCCACAGCTTACATCGTGGTTGTCAGAGGGCCAGAAATATGTAAAAATGTCATATAATAAAGGTGCTTTTTCCATTTTTGCAACAAACTAGGAAAAAATTCCTTCTCGACCCAGAATGTCAGTCAGATCTCTCCTTGGACCAAGAAGCTATTACCCCACTTGTAATCCGATAATTTTTAGTCTGAGATACTGACATAATGCCGTTATTCACTAAACAATGATTGGCAAAGAATTTAAATCTGAAAACCTTTAGGTTTAAACGGATGTGACGAGCTGAGCAGGAAATTCCCCCTTTTTAGTGAATAAACCCTTATAAGATACGAACTATTAGGCACGGGTCTGAATTTGGCACAGATGGTGTGCAGGTGGTGGCCCACTCAAAACGGGATCCTAGACTTTTCCGCTGGACCATTATGGAAATTATTCTGTTGGTCAGGGAATGAAAAGTGCCGCAGGCGTGTTGTGTATGGAATCAATGCATTAACCATGACCTGCTGTATTTATTGATTTGCCTGGTTTACCTCTGGGATCATGTAAACCTCACTCTCTGCCGGGAAGTTACTCTAGAGACCCTGATTCACATAATTAGTAGCAGCCGTAGAGTTAGCAAACATGTATGTACATAGTGGGCACTGGATGAGATACCTTCCCGAAACCAACCATACCCCCCCCCCAATAAAGACAGACACTAATCCTTGATCCAAAGTGGCACTGAGGTCAGCTTGAATTGTCACCACCCCTTCCTCACATACAACACACCCACACAGACATGACAGCCAATCACAGCTCATCCTTTCCCACACTCATACATGTGCCCTTGTCCGCTAAGCTGTGCACTCTCCCTTGGGCCTGGAAGCCGGTGAATGCAATATGATGGTGGACAAAAGGGGCACAGACTGGGAGTGACTCCTGGATACAACTTCAATTTATCTTCGATGTCGCGGGAGGAATGAATAATAAATTTGGATCTCAAACCCCAGAATCAGGAAATAATATGGAGAAAGTGACAGTACCTGTCTAGATATTAAAACATTACCAAAATATGAAAGAAATCTGTGAATTACAGTTTATATAAAGTAGAGGAGGTCATGCAGCTTTAAGGCCAATGGCACAGTCAGTTAGGGCCACCTGTCGGGTATTGTCGCTGTACCGGACCACTGTGATATCAGCAGCACTGGGAGGGAGTGACACACAGCCGGTAACCTCCTCTTCCCAGCTACATACAGAGTGCGCCGTCCGGGAGGAAGGCAGCGGCCAGGCGGCATGGGGGAGGTGAGCTGCTTCAGACCACACTCTCCCATCAACCTCAGCCACCAGCAGCGGGAAACAAGTCACTCTCCTGGACCCCAAAGCTTTGTTGACAGGAGGGTGGCTGCAAATATAAACATCATGGCATGTGTTTATCTGTGTGTTAATGTGTATGTATAAGATTCCCTTTAGAGCTTATAACCCCCCAAAACATCAGTGAGCTACCACCATGCTTCACAGCGGGGATGGTATTCTTTTCACTATAGGCCTTGTTGACCCCTCTCCAAACATAGCATTTATGGTTGTGACCATAAAGCTCTATTTTGGTTTCGTCACTCCAAATTACAGTGTGCCAGAAGCTGTGAGGCTGTCAAAGTGTTGTCAGGCATATTGTAACCGGGCTTTTTTGTGGCATTGGTGCAGTAAAGGCTTTCTTCTGGCAAATCGACCATGCAGCTCATTTTTGTTCAAGTATCGTCGTATTCTGCTCCTTGAAACAGCCACGTTGTCTTTTTCCAGAGCAGCTTGTATTTCTCCTGAGGTTACCTGTGGGTTTTTCTTTCTATCCCGAACAATTCTTCTGTTAGTTGTGGCTGAAATCTTTCTTGGTCTACCTGACCTTCGTTTCTTATCGAGAGATCATTGAATTTTCCACTTCTTAATAAGTGATTGAACAGTACTGACTGGCATTTTCAAGGCTTTGGATATATTTTTTTTATCCTTTTCCATCTTTATAAAGTACTATCACCTTGTTACGTAGATCTTTTGACAGTTCTTTTCTGCTCCCCATAGCTCAGTATCTAGCCTGCTCAGTGCATCCACGTGAGAGCTAAAAAACTCCATGACTATTTATACACATACACTAATTGCAATTTAAACAGCCACAGGTGTGGGAAATGAACCTTTAATTGCCATTTTAACCTGTGTTTGTCACATTGTCTGTCTATAGCAAGGGTGCAACATGTAGCAACATTCAAAGATATGTACACTTTTGATCAGGGCCATTTGGGTAATTTCTGTTATTATGATTTAAAAAGGAGACAAACAACTGTGAACTTTTTGCCTGATCAGTCATATTTTCAAAATCAATGCCAAACACAGTCCTGAAATCAAACACAAATATTACATACAAACACTCCCCTGTAGTCAAACACCAACACTACACACAAATATAACCACATTTAAAAGCAAACATTACATACAAACACACCCGTGTGTTAAAATACTAAAATTATACACAAACACCCATTCTTTCTAACACCAACACTACACACAAAAGCACACCTGCTTAAAAGCCAACAGTACAAACACACCCCTGCATTCAAAAGCAAACACTACATACTAGTACACCACTATATTCCAATGGTAACAGTGCATACAAACAAACCCCTACCTGCATACACATACTCTATACAAAAAACATGATTACATTCAAACACACAAACACAGCAGCTCACAAATAAAACGCTACAAGGACGGACAAATGGTAGATCCCCATCTGGCATAGCATCGTTGGAGTTGTACAACAAATGGGGATCTATTTTTTGGCCACTCTTGCACTAGAAGGGGGCCCTAAACTCTTCCATGCGTTAGGGCCCTCTGTACATTAGTTCTGCCTCTAAACCAGTCACATAGTTACCTCCACGAGTTCCATGCTTAAAGAAACAGAGCCCTGAAAGGGATATTAACTACAGTGAGAATTCAAAGTGAATTTCAGATTTAATGCCAAAGTAAGCCGATTTAAAGCATTTTTAAGATTCGTCTATTTTCCCTTTAAATTTGCAATTCACTGTGAATTCTTACTTTAGTAAGTAGTCCTGACATTACACACAGAGAGCTATGAGGTGACATCACACACAGAGCGCTATGAGGTGACATCACACACAGAGAGCTGAGGTGGCATCACACACAGAGAGCTATGAGGTGACATCACACACAGAGAGCTATGAGGTGACATCACACATAGAGAGCTATGAGGTGACATCACACACAGAGAGCTATGAGGTTACATCACACACAGAGAGTTGAGGTGACATCACACACAGAGAGCTGTGAGGTGACATCACACACGGAGAGCTATGAGATGACATCACACAGAGAGCTACGAGGTTACATCACACATAGAGAGCTATGAGGTGACATCACACACAGAGAGCTATGAGGTTACATCACACACAGAGAGTTGAGGTGACATCACACACAGAGAGCTGTGAGGTGACATCACACACGGAGAGCTATGAGATGACATCACACAGAGAGCTACGAGGTTACATCACACATAGAGAGCTATGAGGTGACATCACACACAGAGAGCTATGAGGTTACATCACACACAGAGAGTTGAGGTGACATCACACACAGAGAGCTGTGAGGTGACATCACACACAGAGAGCTAGGATGTGACATCACACACAGAGAGCTATGAGGCGACATAACACGCAGAGAGCTAGGATGTGACATCACACACAGAGAGCTATGAGGTGACATCACACACAGAGAGCTATGAGGTGACATAACACAGAGAGCTAGGACATCACACACAGAGAGCTATGAGGTTACATCACACACAGAGAGCTATGAGGTGACATCACACACAGAGAGCTAGGATGTGACATCACACACAGAGAGCTATGGGGTGACATCATACACAGAGAGCTGTGAGGTGACATCACACAGAGAGAGCTATGAGGTGACATCATACACAGAGAGCTATCAGGTGACATCACACACAGAGAGCTATGAGGTGACATTACACAGAGCTATGAGGTTACATCACACACAGAGAGCTATGATGTGACATCACACAGAGAGCTAGGACATGACATCACACACAGAGCAATGAGGTTACATCACACACAGAGAGCTATGAGGTGCAGGGGCGGACTGACCGGTCGGGCACTTCGGACATGGTCAGAGGGCCCTTCCGGGAGGGGGGCCTGGCGGCAGGGCTGGATTGGGGGCGGTATCTGGGGACTGCGGAAGAAGGTGCCACCGGGTGGCCGGTCCGGTGGCACAATCTGAGGGGGCCGGCCGTGTTTCATGCTGGAGCCGCCGGGTCGGGTGGTAGCCTCGCTGGTCCGCCGGCACTCCTGTCCTGTCACTAACGCTGAGGATGGAAGGAGGGAGGAGCATGTCTCTCCCTCATGCTCCCTTGCGGTTCCCACATCCTGTGCTGGGAATTGTGGGAAGTGACAGGACAGGAGTGCCGCCGGACCGGCGAGGCTGTCACCCGGCCCGGCGGCTCCGGCCTGGAACGTGGCCGGCCCTGTAACGGACCGTTTTGCACACAAGAGGTTAAAAACCGTTTAGGCGATATTACCCTTCCCAGATGCACAGGCAGCTAGTGCAATCACCAATCTCCCGAACAGCAAACTACACGAATTCTCCAACTCCCGAACAGGAAACTCACGAATACTGGAAACAACTGAACAGGAAAAACCATACTGTGACAGAACCATCTGTCTGCTGGATTTTTACCCGTTCGTCTGTTTGTCCCCGTTCGTATGAATGGCTGGTTTCTATAGCCCAGCCATTCGAATAACTCTTTTTCCCGAACAAATCTGCCGAACGAACGGCCACCCAAGTGAGGAGTGTGCTGCAGGTTAACGAAGTGATCACCATTATAACGTTGTGGTTAACCGCAGACACTTCTCAATTAAACCGAACTCAGGGTGGTCGTCGTTCGTATGTCGACCACGAGGCAGCGGCCATTTTAAATCATGCGAACGCTCAGCGGTGTTTGGCTCTATTTCTATGGAACGGAAAACGGACACTTTTTCTGTCGAACACCGCTGAAACAAGGGAACGTCTGGCTGCCTCCACGAAAGCATGCGAACACCGGCTGTTCGGGAGATTGAGAGCATACGAAAGACTTAACCCAGATAGCCCTCCCATGGAGTCATTCGTATACCGAAAGACTGTAAGAACTTTGACTCCATGGCGATTGAACTATGTGTGTGGGATCTGAGCGCTATTCGCCAATAATATGCACTCAGATCCAGGCTATCTGGGGACATGTAATACGAATGGGAAATGTTCAGTTTTCATGTAGTTATGCATTTTTATGTCTTTTATTATTTTATGTTTAAAATGGCGACTGTCCTTGTCCTGGAGTTAATTGAGTTACTTGGTAATTAACTCCAGGACAGAGGGGAGGGAATCAGAATGCACTGTGGGTAAGAGATGTGACTGTGTGTCAGAAATGTCCTTCTATCTGTCTGTAATTTAAGTCTTCCATTTGGTCCCCTAGGGGAGTGTCGACCAGGTGGGAGACCTGCATAAATACGGGCAGGTAGCCCACAGTAAAACCAGATCTTATTTGACCCTCAATGCGGAGCTTCTGTCTCGTTATTGGGGGGAATTGCTTCTTCACGTTTAGAGGCTGCTGGATGGAACGAAAGCCGCTTTGGGGATATTATTGTTCGACGGTTCCTAGCAGTTCGTATATTGCCGTTCGGCAGTTTGGAGCCGTTCGTGGATTTCGATCGGGAGATTGCCGCTTCCCCTGCATTTGGTTCGTGGGTTACAGAGTAAGCGAACAGAGACTGTACTGCAGCCGGGGAAGGTTTACTAAACGGCGGTTTGGCTTAAAGTCACGGGAGGTGTCTTAACACATACGAAAGGTTTACACTCCTGGCAGTCAGCATACAATCCAATTCCCCCAATAACGAGACGACACTTCGTTTGAGGGTTAAACAGAATCAGCCAGAGCTGTGGGTTTATTGCTCTTATGTACACATTCTTACACATTAGTACCACCCACAGGGTTTTTCAAAACAACCAATAAACATGTACAATACACTCAGACACTCCCACACAAACTCCTCCCCTCTGCCTGTGATACAATTACCTTACACAATGGGTAATGTTATTATCACAGTCAGAGAAATACAGTTTTTCCACATTATTCATAACTTGAAAAGTATGCATCACATTCAAATAAAAAAGTACTTACATTAAATACTTACATTTTCAGAATCAGCATACTCCAAATACAAACATATGTCAAAATCATCCAAATTGGTCCATTAGTTCAAAAGATAGATCGAAGTCCTTTGTGACCACAGGAATCATGGCTTTTCTGCCCAAAACCAGTTCCACAGAGTCTTCTATCCTAGAGATAATTGGGAAGTAATCCAATTATCTCCAAAGACAGAAGCAAAACTCCATTGAACACATGGCAGCAAAAGACAATAAAACACATAAAAACATATAACTGTGCAGCCATTGCACAAAACAGGTACATTCAACATATGAACTAAACACTAATTTACATAACCAGTATGTAAAAGTGGCAGTGTGTAGATATATATACTGTGGAGAAAATAGAAAAATATATAGTGCACTCTGTGCGAGCAGACGTAGTTGTAAACCATATAATAGGAAGCACTCACGTGGTTCACTCTTGCCTTGTGTCCTTTAGGTGACACACACCTTCAACTCCAGATATATATATCTCCTATACCCTCAAAGATTCAGGAGGATATATTTGTATTTCATACCCCTAAAGTTTTTTATGGTGTAAGTTAATATCATTTAGCGCTACACACTGCCACTTTTACATACTGGTTATGTAAATTAGTGTTTAGTTCACATGTAATCACGATAGGATTGAAGAGTACCTATTTTCTTGTGTGAGAGCTGCTGTACTATAAGAGCACCTGTTACTATTTAATTTAAGCGCCTAACAACACAGAATATTTTGTTATATTGTTGATCACTGTTAACATTCAACATATCCCCAGATAGCTCAGATCTGAGTGCACATTATTACTGAATGGCGCTCAGAGCACACACATACAGTTCAATTGCCATGGAGCCAAAGTCTTTCCCATAGTCTTTCATTATACTTATGGGCTCCATGGCATAGCTATCTGGGGTATCACCGCTCAAACAGGGCAAGCACCAAATGACCCGGCTTTCATGTCTTTGCAGGGGAAAATCAAGCGTTTCAACATGGGGCCATAGTCTAAAAGCAGGCGGGCAACCAGGCTTCTCCAGTGCATAGTGGCGAGATTGGTTCCGCCACAGGCCCCCTCTGTCTTCTCTTGGTAAATGGGAGGGGGGGGGGAAATAAAACAGAGAGGGGGAATAGATAGAGGCAGGGGAAGAGGGAAGAAACAGACAGTGGGAGAATAGAGAGAGACGCAGGGTAAGGAAAGAGACAGAGGGGGAGAGAGAGTGACACAGAGAAAGGAGAGAGAAAGAGACAGAGGGGGAAGAGTGAGAAACGGGGAAAAAGAGAGGGAATAGAGAGATGTTGGAGCGAGGAGAAAGAGACAGAGGGGGAGAAAGATATGGGGTAGAGACAGACACAGGGAAAGGGGGAAGAAAGAGACAGAGGAGGAAGAGAGACTGGGAAAGAGAGGGGAGAAATGGACACAGAGTGGGGAGAAAGAAACATACAGAGGGACTGGGGGAGACAAAAAGGCACACAGAGGGGCTGTATATATCACTGGTGGATCCCCCCCGGCCAATCTCTCTCCCCGGTCTGCAGGCACCGTGCGGGCAGCCGGCAGGGGAGGGAGGAAGAGAGGACCCGGGAGCTCAGCCTGCAGCTCCTCTGGTTCCTTCTTGCGCGAGCCCAGAGCGTTGCCCGATTGCCACGGCAACGCTTCGGCTCTTGCGAGAGTGACCTCTAGCCCTGGAGCTACGAGCTAAAGTTCACTCTCAACACTGCGACCACCAGGGATTCCTGGTGGTCACAGTAGTGAGAGTGAACTCTAGCGCAATACACACACTGCCCCCACACACACACACCCTACACATTCACACACTGCCCCTACACACACCATACACATTCACACACTGCCCCCCCCACACACACACTGCCCTCACACACACACTTACCCTGCCCACCCATACACACACAAACCCCCATACACAGCCCCCCATACTAACATTGCCACACACATACACAGTCCCCCCATACACACATTGCCCCAGACACCCTACACATTCACACACTACACCCCCCCCCACACACACACATTGAACCTTTCACACACACTGCACCCCTCACACATTGCACCACTGCTCCTATACCCTACTACAGCCCCATATCCCAGCAGACCCCAAGTAAGTTTTCAAACTGTTCTTAAACGGTTTGACTACTTACTCTGGAAGGGTATCCCGGCCCTCCTGGCACCATATCCACTAAACAGAGCAGCAGTGGTTATTGTGCATGGATTATTTCTTTAAATAATCTACAAGTGCCCCAGTAGCCAGCCAGCCCACAGGCCAGCAAGCCAGCCAGGCCACAGTCCACCAGCCAGCCAGCCCACAGGCCAACCAGGCCACCAGCCAGCCCACAGGCCAGCCAGGCCAGCAGCCAGCAGCCAGCCCACAGACCTGCAGCAAGCCCAGAGCCTGCCATCCGCAGCCAGCTAGCCACAGCCAGCTAGCCACAGCCAGCAAGCCACAGCCAGCAAGCCCACTGGCAGTAGCCAGCAGGCCTGCCAGATGCAGCCAGCAAGCCACAGCCTGCCAGCTGCAGCCAGCAAGCCACAGCCAGCAAGCCCACTGGCAGTAGTCAGCAAGCCCACAGCCCGCCAGCCGCAGCCAGCAAGCCCACCTCCTTCCAGAAAGCCCACAGACTGCCAGCCAGCAACAGCAATTAACTTGGCCTAGGTATCAGCAAGCTATGTTGTGTTGCTATATTGTGAATAGGAACCAGAGTGTTGGAGAGACCATCCTCCAGGCCCCATTAGACTCCATTGTAGTCTCTAATGGGGCCTGGAGGAGATTCGTTCTAACACACTCTCTAAAGGACACTGAGATGGCCTCTGCTAGAAATCCCCTCCATGGCCCATTAGCCCTCAATTGTAGTCTCTACTGGGGCCTGGAGGCGACTGTTTCCAGCAGAGGCTATCTAATGGACGCTGAGATGACCTCTGCTAGAAAGACCTCCTTCCAAGCCTATTAGACTCCATTAAAGTCTTTAATGGGGCTTGGAGGGGATTCTTTCTAACACACTCACTGAGATAGCCTCTGCTAGAAAGAGCCCCCTCCATGGCCCATTAGCCCTCAATTGTAGTCTCTACTGGGGCCTCGAGGGGATTATTGCACTTTTGTTCCTTGTGTCTAAAGATTGTGCACGGTGTGGCTGGAGGCAGAACAAGGGTGGGGCTTGCTGCGGAGCATGGGTAGGGCCTGTAAGGGGGCCCTTGATTTATTTTGCTCGGGATCCCTGAGGGTTGTCAGTCCGCCCCTGATGAGTTGACATCACACACAGAGAGCTATGAGTTGACATCACACAGAGAGCTATGAGGTGACATCACACACAGAGAGCTATGAGGTGACATCACACAGAGAGCTATGAGGTGACATCACACACAGAGAGCCATGAGGTGACATCACACAGAGAGAGCTATGAGGTGACATCACACGCAGAGAGCTATGAGGTGACATCACACGCAGAGCTATGAGGTGACATCACACGCAGAGAGCTATGAGGTGACATCACACGTAGAGAGCTATGAGGTGACATCACACACAGAGAGCAATGAGTTGACATCACACAGAGCTATGAGGTGACATCACACACAGAGAGCTATGAGGTTACATCACACACAGAGAGAGCTATGAGGTGACATCACACACAGAGAGCTATGAGGTTACATCACACACAGAGAGAGCTATGAGGTGACATCACACACAGAGAGCTATGAGTTGACATCACACACAGAGCTATGAGTTGACATCACACACAGAGCTATGAGGTGACATCACACACAGAGAGCTATGAGGTGACATCACACAGAGAGCTATGAGATGACATCACACACAGAGAGCCATGAGGTGACATCACACAGAGAGAGCTATGAGGTGACATCACACAGAGAGCTATGAGGTGACATCACACAGAGAGCTATGAGATGACATCACACACAGAGAGCCATGAGGTGACATCACACAGAGAGAGCTATGAGGTGACATCACACAGAGAGCTATGAGGTGACATCACACGCAGAGAGCTATGAGGTGACATCACACACAGAGCTATGAGGTGACATCACACACAGAGAGCAATGAGTTGACATCACACAGAGAGAGCCATGAGGTGACATCACACAGAGAGAGCTATGAGGTGACATCACACAGAGAGCTATGAGGTGACATCACACGCAGAGAGCTATGAGGTGACATCACACGCAGAGCTATGAGGTGACATCACACACAGAGAGCAATGAGTTGACATCACACAGAGAGAGCCATGAGGTGACATCACACAGAGAGAGCTATGAGGTGACATCACACAGAGAGCTATGAGGTGACATCACACGCAGAGAGCTATGAGGTGACATCACACGCAGAGCTATGAGGTGACATCACACACAGAGAGCTATGAGGTGACATCACACACAGAGAGCTATGAGGTTACATCACACATAGAGAGAGCTATGAGGTGACATCACACGCAGAGAGCTATGAGGTGACATCACACACAGAGAGCTATGAGGTGACATCACACACAGAGAGCTATGAGGTTACATCACACACAGAGAGCTATGAGGTTACATCACACACGGAGAGCTATGAGGTTACATCACACACAGAGAGCTATGGTGCTTGGAGTGTTACTTTATTATTGGACTCCTTTTTTCCAGTATAAAACAGCCTAGCTGTAGCCCCATGTAACAAAAACACAACTTAGTGGAAAGAGGCCTTGCCAGGGATAGGAGACGGGCATAGGAGGAAGCTATGGAGGGATTGGTACGTTAGAAGGTTAGGGGCTGAGCTATATAAATAGGCAGTGTAACAGTTACCCCATGTAGCAGAGGGGTTTCAACCGCTGGAGGGTGTCCTTTTCCCGATCAGTGAGGAGGATTCTCAGCATCCAGTCGTGTTCCAAGTGAAGAAGCTCTTACAAGAGCTAGTGTGAATAGCTGTATAGCGGTTAGCCCCAATAAGAGACAGGACTCTAGATTGAGGGTGAAGTAGAACTGAGGTTTAATGACACACACTCTGCTTTTATGCAGTGCTCCCCTGCAAGGGAGACGCCCACAGACAATTATACATTAACCAATCAGACAATGGTTACATCCCACAGATTCCCTCCCCTCTGCTTGGGAGATAATTGAGTTTCTTACTGTATCTACTCAATTATCTCCAAGCTAAAACTTATACTTTTAATGCATTTTTATAACTTTATGATTTTTCATCCTACAGGAATAAAACTTATATTTTTATGAACAACACAACCTGGGGACAAACATATTCAAAATTCGTACAAATCGGGTTGGGTCATTTCCTTTTATATCTAACTGTGGGGGATACAGATGTGGTACGGCGGGGTTGGGGCAATGACTTTTATATCTAACTGTGGGGGATACAGATTCGGTATGGCAGGGTTGGGGCAATGCCTTTTATATCTAACTGTGGGGGATACAGATGTGGTATGGCAGGGTTGGGTCATTGCCTTTTATATCTAACTGTGGGGGATACAGATGTGGTATGGCGGGGTTGGGTCATTTCCTTTTATATGTAACTGTGAGGGATACAGATGTGGTATGGCAGGGTTCGGGCAATGCCTTTTATATCTAACTGTGGGGGATACAGATGTGGTATGGCAGGGTTGGGTCATTGCCTTTTATATCTAACTGTGGGGATACAGATTCGGTATGGCAGGGTTGGGGCAATGCCTTTTATATCTAACTGTGGGGGATACAGATGTGGTATGGCAGGGTTGGGTCATTGCCTTTTATATCTAACTGTGGGGATACAGATTCGGTATGGCAGGGTTGGGGCAATGCCTTTTATATCTAACTGTGGGGGATACAGATGTGGTATGGCGGGGTTGGGTCATTTCCTTTTATATGTAACTGTGAGGGATACAGATGTGGTATGGCGGGGTTGGGGCAATTACTTTTATATCTAACCGTGGGGGATACAGATCTGGTATGGCAGGGTTGGGTCATTGCCTTTTATATCTAACTGTGGGATACATATGTGGTTTATATCTAACTGTGGCGGGTACGGATGTGGTATGGCAGGGTTGGGTCATTGTCTTTTATATCTAACTGTGGGGGATACAGATGTGGTATGGCAGGGTTGGGTCATTGTCTTTTATATCTAACTGTGGGGATACAGATGTGGTATGGCGGGGTTGGGTCATTTCCTTTTATATCTAACTGTGGGGGATACAGATTCGGTATGGCAGGGTTGGGGCAATGCCTTTTATATCTAACTGTGGGGGATACAGATGTAATATGGCGGGGTTGGGTCATTTCCTTTTATATCTAACTGTGGGGGATACAGATGTGGTATGGCAGGGTTGGGTCATTGTCTTTTATATCTAACTGTGGGGGATACAGATGTGGTATGGCGGGGTTGGGGCAATGCCTTTTATATCTAACTGTGGGGGATACAGATGTGGTATGGCAGGGTTGGGGCAATGCCTTTTATATCTAACTGTGGGGGATACAGATGTGGTATGGCGTTGGGTCATTTCCTTTTATATGTAACTGTGGGGATACAGATGTGGTATGGCAGGGTTGGGGCAATGCCTTTTACATCTAACTGTGGGGATACAGATGTGGTATGGCGGGGTTGGGGCAATGCCTTTTATATCTAACTGTGGGGGATACAGATCTGGTATGGCAGGGTTGGGTCATTGCCTTTTATATCTAACTGTGGGGGATACAGATGTGGTTTATATCTAACTGTGGCGGGTACGGATGTGGTATGGCAGGGTTGGGTCATTGTCTTTTATAACTAACTGTGGAGGGTACGGATGTGGTATGGCAGGGTTGGGTTGTCTTTTATAACTAACTGTGGAGGGTACAGATGTGGTATGGCGGGGTTGGGTCATTTCCTTTATATGTAACTGTGGGGAACTATGGCGGGGTTGGGTCATTTCCTTTTATATGTAACTGTGGGGGATACAGATGTGGTATGGCAGGGTTGGGGCAATGCCTTTTATATCTAACTGTGGGGGATACAGATGTGGTATGGCAGGGTTGGGTCATTGCCTTTTATATCTAACTGTGGGGATACAGATTCGGTATGGCAGGGTTGGGGCAATGCCTTTTATATCTAACTGTGGGGGATACAGATGTGGTATGGCAGGGTTGGGTCATTGCCTTTTATATCTAACTGTGGGGGATACAGATGTGGTTTATATCTAACTGTGGCGGGTACGGATGTGGTATGGCAGGGTTGGGTCATTGTCTTTTATAACTAACTGTGGAGGGTACGGATGTGGTATGGCAGGGTTGGGTCATTGTCTTTTATAACTAACTGTGGGGGATACAGATGTGGTATAGCAGGGTTGGGGCAATGCCTTTTATATCTAACTGTGGGGGATACAGATGTGGTATGGTGGGGTTGGGGCAATGCCTTTTATATCTAACTGTGGGGGATACAGATTTGGTATGGCGGGGTTGGGGCAATACCTTTTATATCTAACTGTGGGGATACAGATGTGGTATGGCGGGGTTGGGGCAATGCCTTTTATATCTAACTGTGGGGGATACAGATGTGGTATGGCAGGGTTAGGGCAATGACTTTTATATCTAACCGTGGGGGATACAGATCTGGTATGGCAGGGTTGGGTCATTGCCTTTTATATCTAACTGTGGGGGATACAGATGTGGTTTATATCTAACTGTGGCGGGTACGGATGTGGTATGGCAGGGTTGGGTCATTGTCTTTTATAACTAACTGTGGAGGGTACGGATGTGGTATGGCAGGGTTGGGTCATTGTCTTTTATATCTAACTGTGGGGGATACAGATGTGGTATGGTGGGGTTGGGGCAATGCCTTTTATATCTAACTGTGGGGGATACAGATGTGGTATGGCAGGGTTGGGGCAATGCCTTTTATATCTAACTGTGGGGGATACAGATTCGGTATGGCAGGGTTGGGGCAATGCCTTTTATATCTAACTGTGGGGGATACAGATGTGGTATGGCAGGGTTGGGGCAATGCCTTTTATATCTAACTGTGGGGGATACAGATCTGGTATGGCGGGGTTGGGGCAATGCCTTTTATATCTAATTGTGGGGGATACAGATGTGGTATGGCGGGGTTGGGGCAATGACTTTTATATCTAACTGTGGGGGATACAGATGTGGTATGGCAGGGTTGGGGCAATGCCTTTTATATCTAATTGTGGGGGATACAGATCTGGTATGGCAGGGTTGGGGCAATGCCTTTTATATCTAACTGTGGGGGATACAGATTCGGTATGGCAGGGTTGGGTCATTGCCTTTTATATCTAACTGTGGGGGATACAGATCTGGTATGGCAGGGTTGGGTCATTGTCTTTTATATCTAACTGTGGAGGGTACGGATGTGGTATGGCAGGGTTGGAGCAATGACTTTTTCAATGCTAATTTAATTTATTACAAATACTATTAATAAAAGCTGTGGACAATTTTGATCCATATATCATAGTGTCTGTGTCTTATTGGGTTAGGTATGTGGGGTTTTTCATTCTAAATCGCCCATTTTGCCTTAATTTAAAATTCAAATACTAAAATGTTTAGTGAGAAACTATGTGTATACACAGATAACCAGATTGTGACGGATTTACGGCTCTGCTGAAACCAGTAAAAATGCAACGTTTTAAATGGAGCAAATCATTCTTCATCTCCCAGAGTCCCCTGCTTCCTCCCGACCAGCAGAGTCTGTAGGTCACTCTGTGACCACGTATAACAGAGCAGGATATATATTTGTTCTAGAACATCCTTCGATATACACGGCATCCCCTGTGTGGCTTGCCTGGGATGGTACTAATTAGGCATTGCTCAGAAATGCTGAACTTTTTATTGCCGCAGTACAATGTGTTGCAGTGAATCTAGAGTTACAAATCTCTGAACAGTGTGATATGAGGTGCAGGTGTCCGCACAGTGCTACATGTGCCTTCATATGTCGGCCTGAATCTGTATTTTGCAGACGCAGATCTTGATCTCATTCACAGCGTTACTGCAGAAGGAAGAACAGATGTGACACCACGAATAAAAGGCTACACAGCGTAACTTGTGACAGCCCAAGAAATCAGAACTCGTCTTTATAGCAAGGCATCAACACATCCTGTTATCTAATGTCAGCAAATAGGTGAAACCTCGCACCTCACATTTCATAGGGCTTATTTATTAAACTGTGATTCTGGTGAAATAAAAATCGGGTTTACCAACTTCAGACCATAACTCTTGTGTTGGAGAAATTCACCAATTTAACTATATTCCCAATGTGTTTATTTTAAAAGGAAGAGGAAGAAGTGTGACCCCTAAGAATGAATTGCTGGAGAAAAGGAGGCTGTTGGTGGATGGGGTGTGAGGAAGGATGAGAAGGACAATAAGGAGACATGAGGAGAGAATGAATGTGTATAGGTTTGGACAAGTTCAGATGATTTTCCGTAGCCGTTTTTCTAGTTGGATATTAGTATATTAATCTTGGCAAAGGCACTGATTGTGTCATTTCCTTTTATATCTAATTGTGGGGGATACAGATGTGGTATGGCAGGGTTGGGGCAATGCCTTTTATATCTAACTGTGGGGATACAGATGTGGTATGGCGGGGTTGGGGCAATGCCTTTTATATCTAACTGTGGGGGATACAGATGTGGTATGGCAGGGTTGGGGCAATGACTTTTATATCTAACCGTGGGGGATACAGATCTGGTATGGCAGGGTTGGGTCATTGCCTTTTATATCTAACTGTGGGATACATATGTGGTTTATATCTAACTGTGGCGGGTACGGATGTGGTATGGTAGGGTTGGGTCATTGTCTTTTATAACTAACTGTGGAGGGTACGGATGTGGTATGGCAGGGTTGGGTTTAAAAGGAAGAGGAAGAAGTGTGACCCCTAAGAATGAATTGCTGGAGAATAGGAGGCTGT